AATGTTAACTACTATCGTTTATTTCCTTTAAACCTAACCTGAAGGAAATAATTATACATTTTTGGGTCAATTGTGCAAGATCTTTTGTGAAGCTTCAGCAATTTTAGTTCCCAAGCTGGTCAACAGTCCCCATCGAATATTAAATGCCACTATGCCATTTCTGACCATGTGTAAAGGTCTTGGTGAAATTCGTATGAGAAAGCTTGGAAATATATATATAAAAAAAAATAAAGAACTTAAGCCAATTAAGTTCTTCGAAAAAAAAAATAACTTAGCATTTTTGACTCTTTGAAGTAGAGAGAGAATCACTTTATTATCATAAAATAAAATGGTGCTGCCCAATTACATTGGGTTGCTAACAACACCGCATACTTATTAATCACTAATAATAAAAATTAATAAAAAAAAAATTTCGAAGGATATTTTCTAAAACATCTATAGCGGGCTAGTTGGCTCTTCTTGGCTCTCTTCTTGACCCAATTACTGAACTTCAGAACAGTGTTGGCTAACTAATAACTCAGGCTTACCTATGGGAGCAGGTAATCCCTTATAAATTTTATATTGTGAGGCAGATATTGGTGCGTATATGCTAAAATACTCAGTACTTACGAAGTGAACTGTTTATATCTATTGGGCATTATAGGCAAAGAAGAATTATCAATTCAAAAAAAGGTATGTAAGAAATGGTGCTGAGGTCAACACCCACCCTTAATCGCCAGGTATACCTCACTTCGTATTGGAAAATCATGCAGTTAGTTACTTTAATTCATTTTCTACACAGTCGAAAATGAAGAACAACCCAGACGAATATAGGGCCCATAAGCCTTATTCTATTCGTCCATATTAAACAATATTAGGAGAAGGTAGTGTTCAGTTCGGTGTGAGTATACATATTAAATAAAATAAAAATAAAAATCCAAAATAATAAATAATTTAATTTTGAAAATAAATTATAATAATAGAATAATATAATGGAAATTATTGAATTGTTGTTGAATTTTGGTGAATTCTCGCAGTAGTATTGGCATCAGAAATTTAATCGGCATTAGATTATTATTATTATTAACAATGTTTTTTTTGACCATTTATAAATAATTGAGCAAACTACTCGAAACGTTGTTAAAACGCTGTAAATTATTCCACAATGGTTTATTATTTCCATACAATTATACATCTAAAGTAACATTACCTTCATAGTTACAAAGAAAAAAAAATAAAAGGTGATTCCAATTATTGGACTAATTTTTTTTTTTAATCATTGCTAATATGCTTAAAAAAATAGCATTACATCAGTAACACATTCAAAATTTAAGAACCAAACAAAAAATATAACATTTGGAGTAGAACATATTATAAAAAACCGGAGACCATATCATTGTTCCTAATTGTCCGATTTTAAGATTTTTGGTTTTTAGAAAATTTCGTTAACTTAAAAAAAAAACATTTACATTATCGACAAAAAGTGTAAACTTTTCGAGTTATTCAGAATTTCATTTTATCGTCGCTCTTAACTTTTTTTCCAGCTTCTTTTCGTTGAAGTATGTTATATAGATAAATTTAAGGGCGTCAAGAAAATGACTTTAGCGAAGTTTCATTGAAATCAGTACATTCGTTTAGGAGCTACAGTCTATAGCAACGTAGGTTTTTCGGCCGCCATTTTGAAAGTAAAAGGCGGATGGTAATGTCGATGAAGGAGGATCATCCTCAGGTGACCTCTGATTTTATATCCAAATTTGAAAAAAAAATCGGTCCAGTAGTTTCGGAGAAAATGCGCGGACGGCGGACGGACAAAAAAACTTTTATTCGTTTTTCGAATTCTACGCATCCTGAAACGTGAAACCTCAAATTTTGAGAGGGGGTTAAATTTTTTAATTTTTTGGTCGATGACAATGGTTGATTATTGAAAATCATAATCCAAAAGTGAATAAATAAATAAATAAAATAAATAGGGCTCAAATATTCTTAGAGACACCATTTATAAGTACCGTATGCTACTTTTCATATACTTTATAATTAATAATAGGAAGGCATGGAAAACATGGAGGTTTGATTCCGAGAAATCTACAATATTTGTCCTACCATCCCTTTTTCTGGCCCTGCCTAGTACCAATATACAAGATGAAAACTAACACAATCCTGCCATCTATGTGTAACCATCCGAATCATCTAGTCAACTCATCCTTACTCAGACGAAATGGAATTCTTCTCATTAGCAAGTTTGGAAAATTATAGATTATTTTGCTCTAATATTAACATTAACGTCCACGTTCGGATCCTTAAATCAAATCAGGTTAATGTGCATAAATTAAGAACATTCAAAAAGAAATTGCGTAACCCTTTCAGGTAAAAATCAATCGGGATTACTCAGCGATTGGGACACGCCCAATCCTTAATACCTTGATTAATATCTTAACAGATGTCCTTGCTAAGGTATCAGGAATCATTTTGAGAATATTCTATTTAAGGTGATGGAACATTCGAGTCCCTTCGAGCGAAGGTGTTGTTCATCCGTAGGCGTTGTTGACACCCACGCGACAACAGGAGTCACCACAAATGACTCCACATTTAACTGGAATTTATTTTTCATGTTGTAAATCACCTTCGAAATGATTGGCACTTCACGCCCTCTTGCGAAATAGCTATTCCTAGGAATAAAAAAATATTTGTAGATCATTGAGCAATATTACAACCGAACTCATTGGATCGTAATGATTCATTCATCATTACTCACTCTTCATCTACTTGAAAAATTTAGCAGTCTAATCTATCTATAGATTCACGTCATCACCGTTCATTTTTAAGATAATATAAATGCCATAACTGCAAAATCTTTAACCAAGTTTTTAAGAACGAGATCCTTTTGAAATATTTTTTTAATAAACAGTTCTTCTTCAATCTCAACAACTAAAGGACTGTTTTGATGGAATATGAGATGCGGCTATTAAGAAACGAGACTGATGCTATAAAACATTTTATTTTGATTTCATAAATATTTGCTTATTGTCACCTTCAATATGAACTCCTCTATCCCTACAACTCTCCAAGTGAATCTTCTGTTGTCTGAAACAGTGGTGGAAGTCTTGTTCTGGCAGCTCCTTCAGGACCCGAAGAACTGTCCTTCAGAGCCCTGCTTCACTGATAGCCGAAAAATCTCGATTGAAAAAATCAAAATTCATAGAAATGATGATTGTCTTTTTTCGATTTTAATGGAATTTTGCACCTTTTGCACCTGGGTTCCTGAAGGCCAAACTATTAATTAATATTATTGTATTTAAGTTCCATCATTGTTTCAGATGTATATTGAAGGTGATAATTAGTAAATGTAAATGAAATCAAAATAAAATGTTTTACAGAGTCTGTCTCATTATTTAATATTACTTCGTACATCTTGGTAAATAATAGAACGGGAAAAATGACCTACTATTTTTTTTTGTAGTAAACAATTGCAGTAAACAATTGGATGTCTTGAAGACAGTTTGGACTTTATTCACCAAAACTAATCATTAACAACATTAAAACAAAAAAAAAAAAACTTGTAACAGTTACAAAAAGTAACTGATGAGGCTAATGTACAAAACACTCGAAAATTGACCTTATAGAACACATCACAATAAATGTGTCTTTCCCCTCATAGACGATTGCACATCACTTCCCTCCTCTCCACCATCTTTTTTTCTTTTTTGTCCACAAAGAGATAGTACCACGAATAACGATTGATTTGCAAAAGGAAATATAGTTTTGTGAACAGCATAGCAAATTAAAATATGAGAAACGTTTCGGTTTTATGGAACAGGAAAAATAAAGACGAAATGCATCAAGAAGAGTGCTTGAGAATTCGGAGAATGAATCCATTAGTTCCATGAGGTTACATAAAAACTTTCTAGCTAGTTCACCATATATTTAGCGACCATAATTAAAGTGGTGAAAAATAAAGCTATAAGATCTGTCTTTGGATCTATGATTTGACAGAACCCTAGGAACAGTTTTTGGAAGATTTAGGAAATAGAGTTTACTGTTCTGTTCTTGAAATGCGTATTTGACGATTATTTGCCTTGTTCATCCAGGAAATACTTAATATAGGGCTTGACTAATTATTTATAAAAAATACATGGTTAGCTTTTGATCCAGACTGTACATTAGATAAAGTAATAAAAAATTATCAACGGCCGATGGAAGCGCTAATGATTGAAGAGCGATCGGCTGTGATCCAGATATCCGATGATTGATGAGTGGGAGATAATGTCGCGCGAGAAGGCGTGAGCTTGCTTAGGGAGTAGTCAATACCACAACGTTACAATTCAATAGCACAATATGTATTTGTGTATACACATTTAGATCATTAGCATTAATGTTAAACAATAAAGAGTAATGTATATTTTATCATTCTTGGACTAAAACGTGTTTCAATAATTTTTTTTTCACTTGAAATATTTATCTGATTGGTCTTATTTAATTGAATGATTGGCGTTATAAACATGAGGAAGGACAACATTCAACAGCACCTTTTCCTAGTCATTGTATACTTTATCGATTCAGGAAAGAAGATCCAGCTCCTTTTCAGTCGTCTTCTAGGGGGCATGTCAGTCGTGACCATGTTTTTTCTAAGTCAGTGTAATTTGTCATGAAATAAAGAGTAAAGAATACGTATGTGCTGGTCGATAGTTGGTTGCCGTAAGTCGTTATGTAAAGTTTTGTTATTTACGTATCAGGGAGCTCCTGTTATTAGTCTTAAAATTTTGGATTGAAAGAACTGTAGGTTTTGTAAGTGCGGTAAATCTGAGAGGTGTGTGTACCGATGTCTGTCTTTTCATTTGGACGTATGTCGGATGTTGAATAATTTAAATTAAATATCTCAACAAAAGATTTTCCGTTTACGACGGTATCTGTATCTATGTTTTCTTTATGTAGAACATATCTGAATTGAAAAAAAACGTATAAATAATATGTTTTATTAATAAATAAACGCACATATGTATCCAGTGGGATTATTACCTTGAAAATTATAAATGGGAAAGGTAATGGAAGCCATGTTGGGCGTCAAAAGGTACTGCCATCGACATAATGAGCCGTCCTTCCTTGGAATTAGTTCTGTCAAAGGACCTTTCTGTTAAGGACTCTCGCCATGGCCACCGCTGCCTTAGTCCAGATAAGCAGGTCATGCCCTGGAGCCGGTTCTCTAACTTCCTGCCCGGTCCCTCACACCTGGCCCGGGCGGTATTGTAGGTCATGGAAGGGACTACCTCACCTCCCGGATTATCGATTCTGTTTCGGCCCTTTGGCTTTGTGATTCCTTATATATATATATATATATATATATATAAGGAATCATATATATATATAATATATAATATATATATATATATATATGTTTGTGTGTGTGTGTGTTATTTGAGTCGTTTATTTCCAAAGCGAACCCTTATCCATGAAACACAAACAAATTCCAATTTTGATACCAAAAACCAATATTTAAAAATTAAGTAATTCTTTATTCGTCGACGATACTTTTTGAAAATCATTTATAATTTCTGTAGGAATTATAAAATATTGAAATTTAGTTGAAATTTAATTGAACTTCACTGGTCCTTAATACGAGTAATGCGGCTGAGTGAGAGGCACTGGGATCTTTTAGTGTCCTGCCTTTCCTATCACGGGTAGGGGAAAAGGCTTGGCTCGGAAATCTTGAGTGAATGATTTTTTTTAAATATACTGTAAAAGCATGTGTGTATTTAAATAGTTATTTTGATTAGTTTAGTTTCTTTTGGTTGTTATATATTTACTTTTATTGAATATTTAATAGTTCACCGTTGCATTATGGAGGAAGGAGATGGTCCGGGGTAGCGGCCATAAATAGGCTAAATAGTGGTAAAACTATTTTATTAAAAGCCAACGTTTCGGTCCGACTTTGCAGGTCTTCTTCAGGGAGCTGTGTTCAGCTAAGAGTTTCGCTTAGAACTGTTTTAAGTGAAACTCCTAGATGAACACCTGCAAAGTCGGGTCGAAACGTTGGCTTTTAATAAAATAGTTTTACCACTATTTAGCCTATTTATGCCCGCCACCACGGACCACCTTCTTTCGTTATATTTATTTTTAGTATTATTATTTTGCTGTTTGTTGTTATTGTTATTTATTGTACATGGTGAGAATGAGCTATTCTTTTATCACCATTACTATTATCCGATTGTAATACATCTCAATAAAGAATTTTCGAAAAAAAAAAGAAAAAGGATACATGACAGCTTTTGGAAAGAATTAAATTTCAACTACATTTTTTGAACTAAAAAAAAATGGTTGATTGTTTTTCGGTTCGTAGAGAAAAAATGTGTACGATTCAGAGTGAAAATTTAAAAAAATTGTAGTATAAAAAATTAACTTTGTTGTTTACAATAAAATTAATTTTTGTTTATTTTTCATTTAAATTAAATGGTTAAAAAAGCTTTTGATAAATTATCACATAAAATTAATATAATTCAATTATTCCGAGGGACACTGTTAACAAACCCTTTATACATCACAAAACTTTATTTAATTTATAATTGGTAAATGGTTGACTGTCGTGGATAATGAAGAGAAGAATAGTTGGGGTGGTCAGTCAAAAAAGAAGGGAAAAATAAATGATAATATTTATTTATTTTTTATTTACTTTTTTGACTATGTTTACTTCATTATTCCACACTTTGTACCCGTTATTATTATTTGCCTCTTGTTCTTACTTTGTCATTATTCTAACAACTTCATTTTACTGTAATTTTTATATTTCTCATACCTTGTTATCTGGTTCTTTTCTTAGCCCTGATGATGGCCTGAACTTCAGGTCGAAACGTCGGCATATATAAAAATAAATATTATCATTTATTTTTGCCTTCTTTTTTGACTGACCATCCCAACTATTCTTCTATTCTTTATTTAATTTATTTCTCATGTTTTGCAACCGACAATGTTTCTGGCAACTTTGCCCATTATCAAGTCTAAAATATTTGAGAATCGTCTAAAAAATAGTTTAATATCCATTCAAATGTAAGAAAACTTATAATTAAAAGCACAGGCGGATCTATGAGGGAGGGGGAGAGCTTTCGGGCTCAAGCCCCTCCCCAAAATGGTAAAATATAACCATGTTTTACAGAAAAAAATATTATAAAATATCTCTAAAGTATTCTTGTTCCTTTAATTACATTTAATAGGACTTTAAGAAGCACTTATACACCATTTCATATAGGTAGTTAATTTCTTTCTTTTTTTTCAAATTAATTATCGTTATATGTATCTGAAAAATAAATCTTTCGGGCTGAAGCCTCCCCCCAAATTAAATCCTGGATCCGCTAGTGATTAAAAGAAAACAAAAAAACATAAGTTAAAGTAAATTAAACATATTTTAACACTTCACTAGAAATTGAGCAGTTAAAATATGACAATAGTGTTTTCTTAACATTACAATGGATTTAAAATTATTTTAGACCAGTTTTGGAATAAAACTTATCACCTCATAACTTTTTGTATTATTTAGGTACTTTTTTTCATGACGTTTTGGCTTTCGGATGGTTTCAGAATGTACCCTACTTATAGTAAAATGAAATGAAACAGGAATTACTTCAGTAATTACCAAATTAAATCACAATAAAAAAAATTACAAAAGTAATTTCATAAGATAATTACTTTATTTAAGTAAGTTGTTTTTCCAGTCTCAAGAATCCCTATTAATGTTTCTTCTAATCTATTAAAAATGGTCCTAAAATTAAATATATAGTTCTGTATTCAATTTTCATTAATTGATGGGTCGTCTTGTTGAGCTTCCAAGTTTCGATATCCTTAACAGTACTTTCTTGTTGAAGAGGAACAACCCATCTTCCTATGGTACACAATCACCTCCAGTGTTAAAAAAATATTAATCTTCAATAAAAGTATCCCTAATATATACCTAGTCCCTCCGTTATTGTTTTATCATCATATGAACCCTTAGTATAAATGCTTGGCTATTTACCTCCTCAACAAGAAAGTACTATTAAGAATATCGAAGCCTTGAAAGCTAAAAGGAATACGAGACAAGCTTTTGAAGGAGTACAGCTATATATGAAAGTTGAATATGTGACAATATATGTAATGGTGGCCTCATTTCCTAGCGTGGGCTGTGATATCTGGGGGACCATGTTCTATTTATTTTGTGTTTATCAGCTGTCGCATAGGGAAAACCGCAAACCTTTCATCAGGTTATTCATCATCTACTATCATCATCACTGCTAGTCTAGCGTCCATCTAGCGTTTCGAAAAGATAGTAATTTAACAATAAATTTTACTTTATTAAAGTTTATCTCCAAATAAACATAATTGTGGATTGATAGTTGACTGTAGTAAATAATTGAATATAGTCTTGTAGAAATCTTTCGTTTGACCACCCCTGATGAAGGCCTGAACTTTGGGACGAAATGTCGACAAAAATAAAAATTAATACAAATTATTTATTTTAATTTTTATTATAATTTTTTTTTACTGACCTCCCAAACCAATCTCCTCTTCTCCAAATAAACAGTTTAAAAAATTGCTAAATTTTCATTTTACATTAATGTTAATCTTTGTGTGAAGCAGTATATAAAATAAAATCATAGCGGTCGAGTGTATAGCATTTCCAAGTCAAATTCATTTTTTTCCAATTTATATGCAACTATTTGCAAGACAAATTAAAGCTTTTCCAAACCAAATAATTGCTCAATTTATTTAAAATTTTAGAAATTTCGAATTAAAGTGTCAGTTACCAAATTATGTTATCAAAGTAGTTTTTTAAAAATACTATCATTTTCGACTGCTCCAACACTTACTAGACAAACGCTCCAAACTTTCAATTAATTACAAAAGACTTATCTACATAACTATAATAAGACCTATATGGACATACGGAGTTGAGCTTTGGGGCTCCACCAAACCATTGAATTCCTATCATATCCAATCCTTACAATCCAAAATCCTCCGTAAAATCCTTCATGCTCCATACTTTGTCACAAATAAAACCATTCATAAAGATCTTAATGTACCATATGTCGCTGATTTAGCTCGAGCCAGATATCTATCCTTTCATGAAAAACTTTAGTCCCATCCAAATCCGCTTGTTTCTACTCTTGCTTCTTCCTCGATCCCTGATAATCCTCCTAGGCGTCTGAAAAGGAGATGGCCTCGTGATCTTCTTACTTAGAATTATTTAGAGAGTGCTACCACTGGGTAGTATCTCTTTAAGCCTGTACATGCCATTATTTATAATTTGCGCATATTTACTAGTTGTATTTGTATATAGTTGTAAATTTCATTAAATAAACAAAAAAAAAAAAAATACTATCATTTTAAGATTTGTGGGTCAGAAATTGATTTATGTTAACTTTTTAAAACTTATAAAAAAAAAAAAAAAGATCGATAGATTAATTTGGCTTAGAAAAAGTTCAGTTAGGTTTGGAAAAGGTATAATTTGTCTTGAAGAAAATTGAATTTTATTACATGAAAAAATTGAATTTGACTTTAAAAAAGTTGAATATAGTTGCAAATGCAGAAATTGGTTCCGATGCAGTCCTTGGTGAAAGTACACAAAAAAGTTTTTTTTCTAACTGTACCCGAACTTTCGTTAAAAGTTTTAGGCCTGCAACAAAATTTCTAGTCTGAAATCTGCATAACAAATGCACTTTTGAGTCAGTGATGATGACCAAATCCTTTACCATTTCATATTAAAACCAATGTAATTGATCTTTTAATAAATTAATTACAAATCGTTCTTCAATACATATTAATATCCAACGTTTTGAAAATTAAAACAAGACATAGAAGTCGTTACATCTTCTATCAAATAATATAATTTGCTCCTTTGAGACGGCCGTGTCAGAGAATATTTTTGGACGCTGAGGAACAATTATTTCTATCTATTAATGTTTGATTTCCGTTGACAGATAGTTACTATGAATCACCATTCACTAGCGAAGTCTTATACACGAAACATATTTATTTTTTAAAGACACTTATGAATTATTAATGGTATGTCAACGACTACGTCAATATTGCATAATCACCACAATTAGAGATGCTCAAAAAGATGTCTGTCATTATACGATGACTCAAGATTTGGTTTTTGTAGTAGTGATGATATTTCGACAGATAAGCAGATAGATATTTTGTCTAGAAGTTTGCTTATTCGGGGTATCTCTTACTCCATGTGTTGACTCGAACTTTATCAGCTTGTTTGGGAACATCTCATAAGATA